TTCTTTTTTATTGGTACTAAAACTTTAAGCAAAGTTTTCTTGATGAATATCAAACCAAATTCAATGAAAATTTTTTTAATTATATAAGAATACAAAATTAAAATAAAAAAATTTCGTAGAATTTGGTTAGATATTCATCGAAAGCCTTCGCTTAAAATTTAGTATCCATAAAAAAAAAGCTGCGGTAAATTTTTTTTAAACATTAAATAAATATCTCTCAGTAATTACATAACAAAGTTTGATAATTTTTTATTTCGATTCTATAAACACGTAGAATTAAAATAAAAAAATTCAACAAATTTGATAATGCCTTCATCAAAAAATTTCAGTTTAAAGCTTAAAAAAATTTTTGAGTCCAAGAAAAAGAAGAATAATAAATTTCCCTTTAACTTTAAACTAATATTTCTCAGTGAGAACATGATCAAATTCGATAAAAATTTCTTTATTATAATTCTATGCGTTTGTAGAATCGAAATAAAAAAAAATAACTATCGAATTTTGTTATATAGTCAATGAGAAATATTTATATTAAGTTTTAAAAAAAATTTGCCACAGCTTCTTTTTTATAGGTGCTAAAACTTTAAACGAAGTGTTCTCGATGAATATCTAACCAAATTCTATGAATTTTTTTATTTTAATTCTGTATTCCTATATAATTAAAATAAAAAAATTTCATAAAATTCGGTTAGATATTCATCGAGAAAACTTCCTTAAAGTTTTAGTACCTATAAAAAAGAAGCTGCGCCAAATTTTTTTTAAACAATAAATAAATATTTCTCAGTGACTAAATAACAAAATTCGATAAATTTGTTTTTATTTCGATTCTACAAGCACGTAGAATTAAAATAAAAAATTTTCATCAATTTTGGTTGGATATCCGTCGAGAAATCTTCGATTAAAATAAATTTTACTGCGACTTTTTGATTTCTTGATTTCTTGATTTTTAACCTTTTTCATTACAAAAATAGAGATTCTTAAAAAATAAGTCCGCATTATGACAAACTATCAGACAATGAATTAAAGCTCTCGACACAAACTCAACCAATACTATATCATCCAATATATATACCTGGACCTCATGGTGTTTGAAGAATGATAAGGATCCCTGTAAATGACATTATACAATTCCTCACATTAAAAGCTAACAAAAGGAAGTCATATAATACCATCGCAGCTTACAGATCAACTATAAGCGAAATACATGAGTACATCAATATTCAACCTATTGGACGAGATCAAGATATAGCTAAATGAATATTAGGCATATTCAGATCAAACTCTCCAACCTAACCTAGAGATGAGATATATGACAACACTATCTCTGGATTACATCGTTGCACTTGGAGACAACTCATGTTTACCCTTGGTTGCTCTTGCAAAGAAGATCACATTTCTGTATGCCTTATCTTCAGCTTCCCAACTATTTGATTTTGCACGATTAGACTTGACTACTCTAACAAACATGCAGGATGGAATTACTATTCAATATGTAAATCCTAAGAAAATTAATATAGCCACAGGGCATGGAATTAACAAGAAACATACCAAAAAAAAATCTTTATTAGAAGATATCATGATGACGATGCATTGTGCCCAGCTACAGCGTTAAACAGTTATTTGGATAGAACTCAAGGGCTTCGTTTCATTACCGATCAAAGAATAACAGTATTTCTGTCTAGTGTAGGGTTTCATAAACCTGCAGCAATTAATACATTTGCCAATTGGTTAAAGACATTATTAGACAATCAGCACCGAATGGGAAGGCAAAAGATATTCGAGTACTGTCAGCCTTGTTGGCGCAAAATGGAGGCACCGACCTAAATTCAATTCTAACATTGGGTAATTGGTCTAGCTTAAGCACTTATCAACGTTTCTATCAGAGAGGTATAAAATTAATGTTAGTACAGAACAATATCAGCAAAATAATTATAAATCAAGCTAGAAACACATAACTTTGCTTTAAAAACATGTGATCTTATTATATATGACATTTATTTTATCAAATGTATGAGATTTATACGAATAGTATCTAATAAGATCACATGCCCTACCCTATAACATTGTAAATACTAGAATAAATCCCACCAAATTTAATAGAACGGCCTAATTAGATTACTTGTATCGTAGAGAATTATATATGAAAAGAAAACTATTAGTTTTCTCTAGATTTGCTTTGTACTACAGTTTGGATAAAATTAGCCAAAGCATGTGATCATATTATATACTATTCGTTTATTTTCGATAAATCTCATGCATTCAATAAAATGAGCACGTGCTACAAAGCGGCACGTGTAGCCAATCATTTGTCAAATTGCCAATTTGCCCAACACTTCATGATTGGTAGGGTGTCGCTCGCTGAGTTTTAATCTTGAATTCTGGAATAAAACATAACACATGAAAAAAAAATAAAAATAAAATTTTTCATGATCATATGAGTTTGCCGGGTAAAGTATAATACTCACATTTTATTATATTGGTATAAATAAAATTTTTAGACTAATATGATCTATAATAAATACCAAATATCATTCTATTGTATACAAAATTTATTAAATATTAAGAATATATATTGATATAAATGAAGAAATTTAAGCTTTAACCTATCAAGTGAAGGCGTTATATAAACCAAATGCGTGATTCTCTATAATATTCTGCGTACATTCTTAATAATATGTTTAATGTCATTTCCCATATTTTGTTTCAAAATTGGAAGGGTTGCTTTTATTAATCAATAATTCCGGTATTTCCATTTCGCATAATTTGCTACCTATAAAAAAGATTATTAAAAATGCTACAATACAAAAATTTAAAAAATAAAATCGAAATTCTAATTACCCTGATACTTATAGCTGCTATTAAGTGAAATGAGGCTACTTTTATAATGTGAATCAACATATGTTTGAGTATATTCATTTTTTACATTTAGTAGCTTATTATCAGATTCAGATAATTCGGCTAAAATATTTTCATTATTCTGCCATTCTGTAAAAATGTCATAAATTTCTTTTGCAGTTGGTCGTTTTTCTGGCTCCATATTCCAACATTTCTTCATTAAATCTGCATAGCATATTGCTGTATTTTCGTAAATATGTGGTCGTAAACCATTGCATACTTGTAATTGAAATTGTAATTCAGATTTCTGGTCAAAAGGAATAGGTCTACCATATAAAATTTCCCACATGATCATTCCAAATGAATAAATATCAGTCTCTTTTGTATATAATCGTTGTTTCAAAACTTCCGGAGCAATGTAAGGCAAAATTCCATAAATTCCATCTGTTTCAGATTTTAATGCTATATTAGCAGTTATTGAAAGTCCTAAATCAGCAATATAAGCACTCTTCAAGTTATCTTGTAGTATATTTCCACTATGTAAATCGCGATGAATAATATTATGAGAGTGAATTATCGAAAGATCTGATGCGATACATTGCAGCAAATTTAATTTATCATTCCAATCCATTTGCGCTATAGTATGTAGATTTTTGCGTAAACAACCTTTTGAAGCATATTCCATGATAAGGATATAATCTTTAGAAATTTTATCTTTTGATACGCCAAAACATTTTAAAAATGTTGGATTTTTAAGACCGATGTCACAATATGCTTTTAACTTTGTGTTTAAAAGAAACAAACATCCAAATTATTAATATAAATGATAAATTACGAATAATAATATACTGCAATTGAATTTTAATAAAGATTACCTCACTTATAAATTTTTCATGATAATTGCTCGATTCATGAAGTAATTTGAGTGCAACATTCCTTTCATATTGTGGATTTTTATCAAGCAATTTAGCACAATATACAGTTGCAAATCCACCTTTACCTATCTCTTTAATATCTTCAAATTCATCATAAGAAATCCATGATAATTGATGCTTATAATAAATCATCATTTTTTTCAACTCTTCAATTTCTGAAATTTCTGAGTTTTGAATCCATTCGTTTTTAGCTAATGTTTGTTCACAAGATTTGTCAATTTAAACAATAAATTAATTGTAATGTAATTTATAATGAATTGGTTATAATAATGTTAATTATAAGAATACCTGTTGTTAATTCTTCTTGTTCCCTAATCGATGATATAAATCAGTATTTGAATTTATTAAATATACGAACGTAATCGATATATCAACTTGGCAGATTTATGGAATTTTGACCTTAATGCAAAACCTCAATTCCTTTTAAAAATAAGACGATCATTTGAATCCTAATAATTTGATCTTATGCGCAAAATCCTAAATCTATTATAAAACTAGTACAGATAGAAAATTTTCATAAAGGTCAAATTCTCAAATCCACAAAATTGTATTATCATATCAGGTGTAATGTTCTTTTTTTTTTAAAAAAAAAGGCTTAAATATCTCAAAACTTTATTTATAATATGATTTTATAATACGAACTTCCTCATCCCAATCATATTTTAAATTAATGCTGATATAAATTGAGTTTAATTACACCTTATCTGATAATATATCTAAATAAATTTTAACTCATTAAAATTTACCTTTGATACCAATATTTGGCTTTATTTAAATCTCTTGTTATTCCAATTCCATTTCGATAACATTCTGCAACTTTTGACATTCCCCAAGCATCTCCCATTTCTACAGATTTTTGATAGTAAAAGAATGCCTTATTTTCATCCTTCTCAACTCCAATTCCATTTTGATAACAATTTCCAACCATATTTGCTCCATTAGCGCTTCCTATCTCTGCACACTTTTGAAAATAAATGAATGCCTTATTTTCATCCTTTTTGACTACAATTCCATGAAAATAACATTGTCCGATACTAAATAATCCAGCAACGTCGCCCATTTCTGCAGATTTTTGAAAATAATGAAATGCTTTATGTTCATCCTTTTCAACTCCAATTCCTTTCAAGTAACAATATCCAACACCGCATTTTCCATTAGCATTACCCATCTCTGCAGATTTTTGACAATAAAGGAATGTCTTATTTTCATCTTTTTCAACCCATTTACCACAAAAATAACAAGCTGCAAGTATGTATAGAATCATAGGGTTTGTTTGATTATTTAAGCAATAATTGATAATATTAACTGGATTTTGCTTCTTCTTTATTAGAAATTGTTCTAGTCTATTAAGAGTTGAATAAATAATTTTATTTTTTAGCCTTTCTTCATTACACAGATTACACATTTCTTTAACAATTTCATTAAGAGAATCTTGTGAAAAACTTTGTGATTTATCTTCAAAATACAATTGAGTAATATTATCAGCTATCTGAGTAATATCCGTTGAATTGTTGATTTTTTCAGGTTGTTCTACAAGTTGATTGTTGTAAATTGACATTTTTGATGCAAAAATATGTTAAATATGGAAATATCAAAGCTATTTAAGATATATCTGAATATTTTATACTGCTCAACTTTTACTTTAAGTCATTTGCACCGGATGTCGATAGGAAGAATAAAAAGGGATGATATATAATACTGGGATCACGACAAGTTATATGTGATCTTTTGCAAAATAGGTGATGGCTTTGGCAAACTTTCTAAAAACACCAACAAATGTAAAAATTGCAAGTAATTTATTCAGGACTTATAAATTTTAACACTAAAAAAATTGACCCCAATTAGACCACACAAGCCAACAAATTATAGACGCTCTTAGATTAGCGAATGAATAATTCAAGGCTCAGTTGTCTATACTTTGTGGGATTTATGATTAGTTAGTAAGAAGGTTATTAGATTAACGAAGATGATTTTGCATAACACTTAGCGTAATGACGGAAAACAGATCATTAAAGGGAAGTTTTATAGGTCCTTTATTTATACGAAATAGTTCATAGAGTTGAATTTACAAAATTTATCAAATTATTCATATTTTTCAAAAATCAATTAAATCACATTATCAAATTTCCTAATTTATCTAAATTAATTAATCTTCGGGAAATCTATAAATGGGTTGATCGTCGTGAAGAACTGCGGCTTGTACCGATAATTCAACTCCCAAAAGGGAACAGATATGTTGCGTTCAACTTTTTTGATGTTCACTATGCTAATTTTTGAAAATTCCTTTTTTGGTTAATAGTTTTACAAATTACATAACATGCCGTTACATAATTATGATGTAATAGCTGATAAATTGCTTCATATCTATGTAATATATACGTACGTACGTACGTACATGCATGAATATGACTGTGTGAAAATAATAGCCATGAGTAGAGATGTGCGAATGCAAGTTTTTTTGGCATAATGTCGTATGATGCAATATGTAATCCTGTGCGTATAATATAGATATCTCGAAACCTATGTTTTGAACAGACTTTGTATTATTACTGAGAGGTTATCTGATTGAAAACATAAACTATTAGATTTTATAGTGGAAACAGACCTGCAGATTGATTTTTATTTGATTTCACAGGCTATTGATATTGATAGGAACATTGTTGATGAAATGACATAGATCAAAAATACATAATAACTTCTATGGCATTTTTAAATTTTAGGCAACTTGCATCGCATTATGCAGCATTATGTAGCATTCAACATCGCCTGCATAATGCATACGGCACATCTCTAGCCATGAGGTATTTGATTTAGAGACGGTCTACTGACACAGCATTCATGTGATTCATCTTTCTTATTAGCACAGCAATTGACATTTCATTTTACCCGATCTAATAAATTTATTGAAACACAATAGCTAATATGATGACACGAATTAATCATTGCAACTTTTGCTGTGTCGGTAGACCGTTTCAATGAATATATTTATATATTTATTTAAATGGTCACCCAAGCATAGCGGAAGTTTATTTTGATTGGTTGTTAGAATACCCGGAAAAAATGTTGATCATACCCCGGATAAAGTATCGGCCATACCCGGACAAGAATTTATTACCCATAAAACTTTCAAAAAATTTGTCTAAAGACGCATATTATAGTCTTACAATATATTAATTTGATTCATAATAACTACTTTATTCATATTTTGCGATGCATACATTATTCTTTTCACAATAAGTGTATTAATTTTACAATAAACAATTAAGTTTCGCAATACAATATTTAACTTGGATTCTAAAATATGCGAACATTCCTAACAACTACCACTATAAACGTTGTATTTATAACTATACTTATAGCCTAAATGAATATAACAAAAAAAATTAAGTACAATTTAGAAGTAGTTCGAAATAATACTTTTTTATTAGGCAAGCAAAACTAATTGAAACAGAATCTTTCAACTTTACTCACCAATTGCTTAGGTCGCCAAACTACTTTCCGACCTTTTGAAATCTTTACTTCTCATCTAGATCTTGAAACTTTTGTATCCTATTGTATCCCAGGTTAAAAAACAATAAAACTCAAAGTAAAATACTAACGACTCAAGTTGGTTTCTACATTACGTATTACAAAAAAATTTTCTCATATGACATGCCGATTTTTACTTATAAAAGTACTTTAAAAATTACAATTGACTGTATAAAAAAAAGGATCGTCGCCAATCATATTTTAGCCAATCAAAATGAACTTCCGCTATGCTGGTCACCCATAAATTATTCAATAGCGATAGTGCTTGTTATATATTATGTATGTATTCAAACTGTTAAACTGATTTCTTCTAAGCGCTATTAATCAATGCATGAAAATTAAGCATTGCGAATCAAGAAACAGGAACTACCAGAATTACATCATAACTATGACATTTAGAGTCACATATATTATAATATAGTACTGTAGTATATTGTAATATTTCTAGCTTTTTTCTTTTAGTACTCATTTTAAAAATCGACATTCACCTTAATTGTAAATTATTTGAAATAGCAATTAAGTTTGTAACAGACTTTTCTATAGTAGTGCATGTTAATTCTGATATAATGTAACTGAAAACTTTATAGTAACAATTACAATAATACTTTTATATGCCACTGGAATAGCGAGTAAGTTTTCATGAGAATATTTACAGTAACTCATGAATGAATTGTGATAATTCCAGCATAAACTAACTAAATATTAACATATTCTGTGTGCTAGTGAGATGTTGAATAAGTTTCTAAAAAAAATTTTTGCTAAAACTCATGATAGAGATCATGATAATTTGAATGCAACTAACTCAATTACACATATATTGCCAGATGGTGAATAAATTATATATATATCCTATTAATATTTTTATTTATAGTTTTAATGCAACAACATTGTACAACTATCTTATATAACTTGAATTTTACTTGCGTGTGATAATTGTACTGGTTCTGCGCGGCATCGATTGAACCTAGGCAGATCTCAATTTTGATTAGCTAAAAAAATTAAGCCAGAATTACTCATAATTTTACTAATAAAATTGTAGCTGCCTATTAAGTAAAAATTGTTCCTGGCTCAATTTTACTATAATGCATGCTTATTTTTTAAAAATTTCTATTTTTGTAATGAAAAAGTTAAAAAGTTAATTTTAGCTTGAACTTAGTAAATAATTTTGTAATGTGAACCAAAATTTCAAAGATCTTTGGCTATTAGCCAATCAAAATCGAGAATCTGCTATACATTTTTAATGCAGTGTCACAGCTTAGAGAAAGACTTATATACTTCATATAGACAATTTAGCTTTAAGCCATGAACATTAGAGTATTAAAAGAATGTAATTTTTATATTGGGAGAGCAAATATTATATTTATTATTATTATATACAGTTAAGAAACTATCTAAAAGAATCATTATTCCTTTTTTCTACATGCAATGATCTCTTTATATATATCTAGCTAGAATTTAAGAATGAGGTAAGAACTATGTCTATTTACAAAGAATGTAGTAATGCTAATTCCTATGTTGAAATGTAGTAATCGTTACCTGGAAATATAATCATAATCCAATGTTAATAATATAGTAATGATCTACTAATTAATAGAGCAACAGAGTAATGAAAAAAATACTAATTATGGACTAAATTAGTATACTATAAGAATATAATCTTTAGAAACTTTATCTTTTAAATGCCAAACCATTTTAAAAATGTTGAATTTTTAAATCCGATATCACAATATGCTTTTAACTTATTATTAAAAGAAATAAGCATTCAAATTATAAATATAAATGATAAATATAAAATTAATATAAATTACGAATATAGTATATACTGTACTCAAATATTACCTCACTTATAAATTTTTCATGATAATTGTTCGATTAATGAAGCAATTTAAATGCAACATTCCTTTCTAATTGTAAAGATTCATCATGCAATTTAGCACAATATACAGTTGCAAACCCACCTTTACCTATCACCTTAATATCATCAAATTCATCATAAGAAATCCATGATAATTGATGCTTATAATAAATCATTATCTTTTCCAACTCCTCTATTTCAGAAATTTCAGAGTTATGAATCCATTCGTTTTTAGCTAATGTTTGTTTACAAGATTTGTCAATTTAAATAATAAACTAGCAATGCTACTGTGCGGGCGACTTCGTCACCTACTCGCAGTTTTGACCCACCTTATTATTATTTTGTAATAATATTGCGAGTTACTGTAAAGAATTCCACTGCAGAACTTAGTATGCGGTCAAGTTAGCTTGCATTAGTATTATTGCGATTCTTTATCTTAAAAAATTCAGTTAGAGAACTTGCACACACATTGGTTAAGGTTGAATTGTTTTTGTTAAAATTATTACAGAGCTTGTTATTTTGGTGAAATTACTGTGATTTCTACTATGAGTTACTATAAAAAATTCTTTACAGAACTCACTGTTTCTTTGATTACAAGTTAGTTTCATTAGAATTACCTGATTTCTATGTAGTTAAGAGTGATTTCTATTGTAGAATTATTGTAAAAATTGGTACAGAACTTACTCATCTTCTATATAGTTAATGTTGAACTGATTTGTTTGTAGTGGAGTTATCATAATTCTATTATGAGTTACCATAAAAATTTAGTTGCAGAACTTGCTATTCTGGTGGGCACAGTATTAATTAAGTTAAGTTATTTTGTATTGGAATTATCATCATTTTTTACTGTAAAAATTCTATTATAGAACTTACTTGACTTGCTATTCTAGTGATATACAGTAAGTTTAAGATTGTATTGGAGCTACTATCATAATTTCTATTATGAGTTACTGTAAAAAAACTAATGTGGTACATACGTAGTAGTTAATATTGAATTAGTTTATATTGAAATTATTATTATTATGGGTCATTGTAAAGAAATTTTGTTACAATGCTTGCTATTCTGATGATTACAATGTGATTAAGACCAATTAGTTTTATTGAATTATCATTATTTCTACCATGGGTTATTGTAGAAAAAAAAAATTCTGTAACAGAACTTACCATGACCACGGTATATGGTTAATTGAGTTTGTATTAAATTTATCAAAAAAATTACACTGCATATAAATAAATTAGGTAAAGAGGAGACATAAAATAGTAAATGCTTAATGACAAATAAGTACT